TACGTAGTGTATGTTTGACAAAGATCGCAAACTAACCCTAAATTATCTTTCAGATATATAAGACTGACCATTGATCCAATTAAAGGAAGGGCCAATCAATAGAAATCAAAACTTTCATCTGGAATTTAAAAATAAGTGATTTATACTGATACAGTTTTATTTATATATGTTATTACATCAATTCTCTCGGAAATATGGAGAGGATTTTTACATACATCTTAATCTTTAATGTTCTTTCAGGTATGTATGATTATTATTAATGTAATTCCTCTATTAAATGTTTATCAATGTTCATGTCTTCATGTCTTCTGCTCCAAGTTATAAGGTGCTCATGCTAAATAGCAACAAAGGGGGGAGTTTCGATATGGTCGTTTTTCGGCTCCTCACGAAATTTTATGAAATTATGATATTTTGTAGAAAAACTTCTTATCTTCCTAAAAATTTGAAAATAATTTATGTTACGCATTTTCCGGTCACATGATAATTGAAAATTTAAGTATACCCCCTTTCGTATATTTTTGGAGTAGACATTTTCATAAGGGGAAAGTGGATTATTTTAACCGTCAAAATCGTAAATGAGTTAGGATAAATATGAATAAAGACAAAAATTAACCAATTTCAACAATTTTATTTACGGAAAATGGTATTTATCTTATGCGAATGTTTTTTAAGGTGCGATATTTTTATGGTGTGTTAAATGTTACTTTTCTTTAAAAGAGGATGAATTTAACTTATAAAACATAAACATATATAGAAAGTTTTAACATCATAATTAATCGACAGTTTATACATAAACTTTATAATCAGTATTACATTTTCTCATAGGAAAAATGCAAATGAAAAAATATGTAGACATGAGATAGGTAAACGTAAAAACGTCATATACAGGTATTTGCAATATATTTTCATCAATCAGGTTATACAACTACATAGTTTATAAAAATATACCTTAATATCATAAAATTGAAATTAAATAAAATGTTTTGAAATAAAAAGATTAAAAAATGAATGCAATTTTATATACATACATGAGTAAAAAGTTTATTTAAAAGCATCATATTGCTACCTGAGCCGGTACAATGTAGGTGCAATGTAAGAAAAATATTTTATCTGGTGGCTGCCATATAATTATTCAGCGGCCGCTTGAAAAATATATCTGGCGGCTGCAAAAAATAGTTATCCTGTGGCCACCACATAAATGACTGGCGGCGACTAGAAACTTATCTGGTGGCCGCCACATAAATAACTAGAATCAGATCAGAACAAATAAGTTTCTTGCGGTGTAGACTTGTAATCTAATAAAACATAAATTTGAAGTTATGAGGTGAAGACCTTATGAAATGAAATTTTGTATAAAGTGTAGATTTGACCTATGCTAATAAGACATGAAACTCCCAGATTTGACTACAAACAGAAGTTGTAGATGTAGTAAAGGCAGAGATTATAAGCACCGCCTTCAAAAATACCTGGTCTGTGTACCTCTGTCAATCAAGTGCATTAAGGTACATCATTGGGTGCTACAACATGATTGGCAAAAACACTACAATTTTATCTGACGACCGCCAGATATTTCAATAGCAGGGGCTAGAAACTTACCTGGCGGCCGACAGATAACATTTTTTTTTTTACCTTGCACCTATCGGCTTCAGTATATTGCAATGTATTTGATAATATTGATTACAGTCAAAAATATTTTATCATGATACGCAATATGATGGAAAAATCTATAATACATTGAGTGTTTCCTTTTCATTATGAAACTTTGAAGTATTTGCCCACATAGATCTGCAGTATGTTTTCAGCATAACTGAGACAATCCCAGCCAAGACTAATTTCTTCTCGCTTCCCAACTCTCCATAGAGACTTAAGTTTCTTCACCAAGTCTAGTCACTTCTCATTTAGAGAGTTTTAGAATTTATTATTTATGATTTGCTAGACCAGAGCACAGTTCGAAATATATGTGTAAACGCCAAAGATATGTCTTTAATCCTTAATCAGGCAGACATATGCGCCTAGACATCCAGACTTAAAATAATCCATGTTCCCTATATCAACCACACATAAATTTATGGGCGGCTCTCTAGCATGTTGGAGCGCGGATTTCTATTTACAAGAAACTCAAAAATGTAACTATGCATGATAAAGGATTGGACTTGCTCTAAAACTTATTTTTTGTTCAGTCAGTCGGAAAATGTAAGAAAGATCCAGCATCTGAACCATGTCTGGTAATGTGCAAAACTCGATGCATCATCAGTGCAAGTTTGGTCACGATAGGGCTTATAATTACATAAGAATGAGACCCGCTTCAAAATCTTTAACCTAGCTGCTCACTCATTAAGGAGATGTAGGTCATATCCAGTATCTGAAGCATTCTAGTAGTGTGCATCCTTAGATGCATCATGAAGCAAGTCTGGTCAACAGGTTGCTTACAGCTGCTCTGCTCCAAAAACTTAAACCTGCTTTTTAAACATTAACCTGGACACTCTTTGGCTAAAAATCCAGCATCTGAAACCTGGCTGGTGACAAGAAAACATACTTGATCGGGTGACTCTGATTAATATAGGGCATAGATATACTTGAAAAAAAAATCTGCTTCAAAATCTTTTACCTGGAACACCGATGTCGACGGTATTACGAAAGCTACCAAAGTTCAAGGAGGGAGCTAAAAATGTGACGTTAACGTTATACGTTGGCGACAAAAAAGTATAGAAATGAAGATAGGATACGATAATGTTTTCTACTGTTAATATAATCGAGAATCTTCTTTGATTTAAAAATAAATGCTACTTTTAGCTCAGTATTTTAACACAGAGTTAGATCAAGAAACCAGGAGCTTCTAATCTTAGATACGCAAATTTTATGCAATTTTTTCAACTTTTGGATTTGAAGTGCACATGCGACACTCATCATATTTCAAGAAATTAGTGTGCAGAGTATATCTCATTACTGAATAAATTTAGGTGAGTGTCCCTCATGCACTTCATATTCTAAACATCGATTTATAAATGCCACTCTCTTATATTTTCCCATAAGCCTAATGTTAACGGATCTGAGGGTACATCTAAGTATGTATTAGCTAGGGTGTGAATTTTTATCTCATATTAACTTTTAAAATGTAAAGAACAAAAGTTAACGTATTTATCTTGAATTCTAAACTAGTTTAGAAAAAATAAATTAAAATTTATTTTTATGAAAAAAAAAAGTGGGCCGCTGAGCGGCCTTATCGAAACTCCCCCTTTAAGTGTGGTTATGATTAAGTGACCACTTTTTTCAAGAACAAAAATTCTAAGAAATTTTTAAAGATATATTTTGCAAATTCTTATAATTTAAGATTCAATAGTGAAAAAATCCATGGTTATCAGAGGGAAGAAAGAGGGGACATAAAAAATAAACTGTGAGCCAAGACAAAAAGAAGACTTCTCTTGTATTGCTCTTATATTGTTGCATATATTTTGCCCATTTATGATTGAAAATTTTCTAAGAAATTATGTCAACATGCAAAATACATGTAATTATGTCAACCTGCAACATAAATCAAATATATCAAATATGCAGAATAACTAATGTTGTCAAATCGGACGATTTTTAGTGATTCGCTTAATTTTCCGATCTGGTACTCGGTTACCCGGATGCTTTTTCATTATATACTTGATTGTTTTGTAATAAAGGTAACATCGTAACAGTTTTTATGTTAATCTTATCCATTTTATACCAGTATTTATAACACACAATTGTAACGCAATTTGGACGTTATTTACAATTACAAACACACAATATCTTTTAAATAAATTTGTTTTCGAATGTCATTTGAATAATTAAACAAAATTTTATTAACAGACGACGAAAACAGCATTATAAGTATGTCATATAAAAAAAATCCCTAACAACATCACCCCGCCCCCCAAACCACCAAAAAAAAACAACAACAACAATAAACAAAACACACACACACACACACACACACACACACACACACACACACACACACACACACACACACACACACCAAAACAAATAAAAACAAGGAACCCCCACCCCCCCCCCCCGAAAAAAAAAACATTTTGATGGGACTAGCCTTGTTGAAATGACAGAGTAGCAGCTTGCGAGAATGTAAAGGTGAGGATATTTAAAATTAACTCTTTTCAAATATTTCCATCCATTAGATGTCAGAGCGGCTTCAGACATCGTCGTCGTGCATAGGTTTTAAAAAGGTAATTATGTCCAAGTCTACGAAAGCTCTATGTCCACACCTTGGCAATAAAAGTCATCAATTATCCAATAAGATCAACTGTGAAAACTAATCTACACAAATCGACCCTGGTATATAACAGTAAATAAAACAGGATATGTTAGAGAACATTTATAGACATTTTCAACCATTTATTCTGTGAAATGAATATATATCCGAGAAACCGAGTGGCAGTTTTACTAACCGATACTCGTATCATTCGACGATTATCCAATTAAACAGGTACGATTTGAATACCATTTTTGTGTATACTCACGCGTAGAAATATACACGGAGAAACTCTCGCTAAAGTGACGTCACAATGAGGCTACAGAGACGTAAATAAAAAATATAACGATATAGGGCAGCGGGAAATTTAAACACTGAGTATATTTTTGGTACTTTTAAACATTTAAAGTGTAAATATAAGGAAAGTTTTCAAGTTTATTTTGAAGTATTGGTGTGTAAATCACACAGTCTTGCACGTAGATATATTTTTCATGAAGCGCGCTAGCGCTTCATGAAAAATATGCCTACGTGCAAGTCTGTGTGATTTACACACCAATAACTCACACAAAACTTGAAAACATTCTTAAATGTTATGCAGAAAGATAGAAAATGCAATATTTATACATGTATATCAATATGAATATAAAAAATCCATTTTTATCAGCCAGTAATCCCTTGATTCCGCCACTGATGCTTATGTGTTTTTGTTTTAGGTGTCTTGATAAGAAGTCAGTCAGGAGCGGTGGATACGAAACAATGTGTCATGACGTATGAGAGCCTAGGTCCAGAACGAGGAGTTGATTCAATTAACGTTTATAAGAGTCACATCAATGATCTGTCAGTGAGTACTCAAGAAGCGTGCAGGGATCTATGTGACCATGATCAACAATGCAAGGCTTTTGGATTTTCGAAGGATATATTCGGAGTCAGATGTACCCTTTCGGAAGACATCAAGACCTATCGTATTGAAGGCTGTGCAACATGCTTTGTTTATTTAAAGAATTGTTCAGCAGGTAATAATTTCTTTTAACAACTCAGTCCGAGGATTTTGAAGCATATCTGAAGGAAGTCGAAATCTTTGTAATACATTAGACATGGTGTAAAAGCCAAAGAGTGCAAAGAAAACTATTTTTGAGATTTTATCACAACGGTGCTGTTATAGAAATTTTCTCTTTTTACAGCTAACTCAATAAGACATGCTCCAAAAATTTGACTTAGTTCTAAATATGTTTCTTGATCCCAAGCCTTATCTCTATTTAATTAAATAATCAATATCAATGATAATTTGTAACAATATAGTAAATAAAATATGACCCTGGTTTTGCTTTGATTTTGAACAGACTGCATTACATACACCATGTACAGTTCTGGTTATATTGGAACGAAGCAGTATGCCAACTATGACCCGTCAAATTACACAGCATGTCGGGATCGGTGTTCAAACGATGTAGTATGTAATGGCTTCATACACAACTCTGTGACACAGGTCTGTAGACTGGTCGACTCAAGCAGTCCTGCAGTGTTTGCTGAAAACACCAATTTCTCCTTCAGTCGAAAGGAATGCGATTTTGGTAGAAATGATACATAGATTTGAAGAAAATATGGTCAAACAAGAGAACTTACAATACAAAACCTAATTCTAAGTGGATTATGTATGTAGATGATATGTATTTTGAATGTCTTATTTTACTAGTACTTAGATGATACCTTTGTTTCCTAACAAGTAATAATAAACAAAAAACAGAAATGGTATGAAGTTGAAGTGAACAGGCGCCATCTTTTAGAATTAGAAATCGTTTGGGTACCATGCTACAAGCAATTCTTTACTATCATACATATATCTATTTGTTTAAACTTTATAATAGTAGACGTGATTAGATTTATCTGTATAAGGAAATATTTGTATTGAATTACACTTCTTTCTTTTTTCATGTACCATCCTCTAATACAACTTTATATCCTGGCAAATTGTATCTAATAATTGTTTTTAATAACGTAGAGACGTAAATATTGCTTATCTAACTATAATACGAAATCTCTTTTGATAATCCACTGGGCAAAGAATTGACCAAATGGAAAAAAAATCAGATATTTATGGAAAAGAATCTATTAACGTCTTTTAAGTTAGTTGTGGATATGTTCGTTCTAAAAGAGCTTTCACAACTGTAATATTCTAATTGGAGAAATATGAAGTAAATTGTAAACAAGGTAGTAATGCTATTGTTTCTTTCTCTAGGCTGTAGTACATACCTAGGATACGGGATAGGGTATATCTTACCCTTGGAATCCTACTATGACATAATGGACATAAGGTCTGGTGACTGTGAGCAGAAATGTAACAACAACTCCCTCTGTCGGGGGTTTGCCGTCATTGACGATTGGGATAAATGTGGATTGTCTTTCTCAGCAAGAAAGCAAAAATGGACTGATTGTTCCACGTGTTCTGCTTACATTAAACTCTGTTCTTCTTGTTATGCTTACTCTAAACAGTGTCCATTAGGTTGGTATTTATTTCATTTTCAAGAACACGATTTTCCTTGCTTCAAGAAAGATAATGAATGAAATACATACTGTATATATGATAGAATTATAAACTGTAAAATTCCCCACACTTGTCAGTAACGAATCAGTTCAATAATTAATGGTTTACCATTATGGAAATACATCTACAATTTTGGAACATTTTTATCATTTTCGGATATTTAAGAAAAGATTATTAACGACAACATCACATATTTAACGAATTCAGTATCTGAAAGTCTGAGCATAATGTTTATAAAACGGGTTTTGCTTAATCTCTGGATGTCTTTTTATGGTAAATACCATACTGAAAACAAGTAAATACGATCATTTAAAGGAAATTACTCAATTGAAAAATCAACGTGTCTGGCCACCACCTACGCTGTTTACAACGGGAGCTACGAGGCCTCGTCTATTTACAGCATCATTACTGCTACATCGTACACCGCCTGTCAATCCAGATGCAGTGCTGATCATTTCTGCCATGGATTCACCTTTAACCATGTGACAGAGACGTGTAGCTTGTCAGAGAGTTTATTGCCTCGGACTTCAAACTGTGCTGAGTGTTTCTTTTCTGCTAAAGATTGTTCAAGTAAGGGCAACATCCTCTTCTCTATAGAACATATACATCTGTATATATTACATGTACATCTGTATATATTACATGTACATCTGTATATATTACCTGTACATCTGTATATATTACATGTACATCTGTATATTACATGTACATCTGTATATATTACATGTACATCTGTATATATTACATGTACATCTGTATATATTACATGTACATCTGTATATATTACATGTACATCTGTATATATTACATGCATATCTGTATATATTACATGCATATCTGTATATATTACATGTACATCTGTATATATTACATGTACATCTGTATATATTACAAGTACATTTGTATATATTACATGTACATCTGTATATATAACATGTACATCTGTATATATTATATGTACATCTGTATATATTACATGTACTTCTATATATTGCTTATGAATCTTCATATATTACATGTGAAAATTAAATATTTTCCCCTGACAAATGTAATCCTTTTTCAAATTCTATTAAAGGCACAACCAACAGATATTCCCTGTCGTGTTCGTCAACATTCACCATTATTGGACAGAATTTGACGATTTTTCCATTGTTCACTACCCACAATGACTCTGACTTTATAAGGTGTCAACAACTCTGTGTAGACGACACTTCCTGTCTTTCCTTTTATCACCGCTCAGTGAACAATGATTGTCATTTGTCAAAGTCCAGTGTTCTCTTCCCTTCTGCTTGTCCGACATGTGAATATTACAGGAGAAACTGTTTACCAGGTTTGAGAAATGTATACAAACTATTAGGAATGATAGTGGCAGATTTTTTAAATATTATGCGTTTAAAAATATAAAATCTTAATGTACTAAATAAACAAATAAGTTATGCCTAAACTGATTTTAGATTTTTGTAACTGGAAAACTTTTAAACATAGCAATAATTTTATAGCAATTAATTTTAAATATAGCAAGTACTGTAAAACACGCTTATAATGAAATAATATATCGCCTTCCATTCCATTCTACCAATATAGAGTTAAATCTGACTTTTTGTTCCTTTCCTTGTTTAGACTGTTCTTTGGTGACTTTTGTTCTGTTCGAACTTGGATACACAATGATGACCATAAAAAATGATCTTGCTGGTCAGAATATTTCATTTGAAGAATGCCAGCGTCGCTGTCATTTGGACACATATTGCTTTGGATGTGGATACTATTCGGATACTATCCGCTGTGTTTTATCGGACTCAAGTGTTCCCGTCTGGTCGCCTTCTCAGCTATCCAGTTCTTTTTCCCAGAAAGTTTGTTCACCAGGTAGGATTATTTTACTGTAATGTAACTTCATTTTGAATTGTTCAAAGAAAATATAATGATGTAGATTTACTGTTGTTTTTCTTTCGCCTGCAGAGGAGAGCGACGCTTAGGGATCGCTTTACCCGGCGTCTGTCCCTCCGTCCGTCTGTCTGTTACACCCTATATCTCGAGAACTGTAATAGATACTGATATTTTGCACGTATGTTGATTGGCAGATGGCTTTTGTAAAATACCATGGTTACCGACCTCTTGACAATTGAACTTGACCTTTGACCTACTTTTCAAAATAGTTTCTTGTGTCGATATACAGCATATTTTTTTCAATTAGGAAGTAAATTTATGTATATTTCTAATATATAATTTCAATTTCATTATCCACTCTAGCTTTGAAGGTTGAGAATCATATTTCTATTTGAAAGTCAGATTTTTATATGATAACTTTATTTTTATATGATAAATGTTGTGGATTTTTTCTTTGCTATTATAAATCATGATTAAACTAGTAGCCAATAAATAACTAATCACCCTTTATTTATTGTTATCTTTAATGATGCTATAAAGCAGGCGACACATGTGTTCCTTGGAACACTCTAGTTTTGTTTAGGTTTATCATGCATACTCTTGCATGAAAAATCTGATAACAGTGTATCCAAATTGTTTGTGTTAGTTTAACAAAAAATTTTGCATTTCTAGTATTTTGTTTCCTAAATATATCATTACAGATTCCACAACTAAACCCACCTCATTGCACCAACTAACAACTGGAAAAACTGAGCCGCAAACAACAGATATTTTTCAAGAACAACAATCAACTGAAATATCTAGACAACAACAAACAACAGGAACGATTAAGCAGCAAACAACAGAAATCTCTGTACAACAATCAACAGATATCTCTAGACAACAACAAACAACAGGAATTTCTACACAACAAACAATAGAAATATCTGTACAACCAGTACTTAAAACAACTGAACAAGGCCAGACAACAGAAATTTCATCACAACTAATAACAACAATACAACGTCCAACACCAGTTAACAGACAAATAATAACCAATGGATCAGTACAATGTATTTGTGTGTGTAAAGACACGGCCCAGTCACTTCAGGAGAAATTGAGTCAAAGAAAGAACGATTTAACCGTGAATTCCAAGACCCTCTCCTCTAGGCTTAGGAAGCAGACGAGTGTAGCAGACTCTCGGCTGCTGTCTTGCGCAATTGGTGCGGTAGGGGCGATAATACTGGGAGGTTTTGTAGCATTGATTGTTTTACCCGATCTGTGTCAGAGTGTTTCTTATGTAATCAAGATATTTTATGTGAATTAGAATACAATCAGATACCTTGATTTTGCACATTTGTACAGGCCTAACAGACCTCACATTGATATCCCTATACAAAACTAAGAACAGAGTGGAGTTTTTGTAAAGAGTTCATTGTTAGATAATTTTGAAATAAACATTAAATTGACTTTTTAACTCAAATTAAAGATATAACCTTACAAAAAAAATCAGGGAACATCTCTGAATAATTTAATGCTGGTTGTAATGATGTATTTGATTGGATAAAGGAATAAGTTAATATAGCAAAACCTGTGTTGCCTGTGGCTCAATATGACTTAACATTAATGTGTATCAATCTTCTTGACGTTAACCTTAAATATTGTACAATTTGATTTGAAGGCAAATGTGAAGGGAAATTATCTCATAATTTACACTGACTAGAAGGAAATTATAAGGAACAATTAATAACTTCTCAAGTTATTTACATATAACCTGGGTTGAAACAGTTTACCTTTTTTTATAAGTCGCTATGCGGATTATAAGGCGTAAAGTTCCCAACCGAGGTTATACATCATATTTTAAGTAGCTATTAAATTCACTCATTAAGGTATATTGATCATTTTAAAATCTCTAAATGATAGTACTGCATACTGTATATTAGCTTCTCTTTTTTTTTATTTAACTTCTTGTATTTAACATCACCTATTTTAGGTGCTCAACTCTGTAGAACATACTCTGGGATTGTATGAATTTTCTGTCTAGGTCATGATCATGAATAGATGTGAGCATGGACTGAGCAATCTATAAATCATAAAATGAAACTTGCAATTGAACAAATATGCATATTTAAGGAATTATTCATCTTCTGGAGAGCGGAAAAGAGGGGGTATTTCATGAAGACGTTAATGGTAACCTAACGACAAAACTTTATGATAAACGTGATGACTTCAACTTTTCTATTGTCAACTTCCCTTATTTATTTATGTAGCAATATATCCTTATCACCTGCATATGTAGTTTATGTCTCCCAGTTGATTCGATACGCAAGAGCATGCTCTATGTTCGAACAATTTCTAAAACGAGGCAAGCAATTGACAAACAAGTTGATGAAAGAAGAATATCAACAGTCTCGTTTAGACATCATTTTGGAAGTTCTATGGTCGATACAATAACCTTGTCAGCAAATACAATATTTCATTAAGTCCAATGCCGACTGACGATTTTCATACTAATTGTTGGGCCATTATTTACACACTAAATTGTCTACGATTTTTTTTTGTTTATCCGATCATGAAAAGGAGAAACGGCGGTTGTGACAGATCGACAGGGGATGTTAATCATACATGGAACCGGATTCCAACTCTGATGTTTTTAGAGTTCCATCTTTGCTCCCGAATTGTATTGTATTGTTTCAATGGACTTTTGAGCTTGAGCTGTTCCTTTTCTCCATATTTGATTTCAAAAGTAAGAAAAAAAATAATTATAATATTATTTACATTTTGACTGGCATATAAACTCGGGTCTTGTGTCAAATTACACTCAGAAGAGACAATTATGCAACAAAGTAAATTTTAAAATATACTGCAGGTATACACTAACAAAAGCGACGTCACACGAATGCCAGTTTCTAAAATTCTCATTTTAACATCTATGTTGGGGATGTTGATGTAATGAAAAAAAATTAGCATAATGTTGAAAACTCACTTTCTGAAAACCTCTATACACAATCCATATATCGTTTTCATATTTCATATTGGTACATATTTTTATTGTCGGTATAGATGACATCCTTTTTAAAACAAATTCTTTTCTTGCACATTTTCACCGACATTCCTGCTTTAGTTTGACCCAAACATGTATGACAGAATGCGAACTTGTTTGAACTGCCAACCCAAAGTACTGAGGTCCGTTTCCTTGAAAGATAATAAAGTAAATAAAGAAGCAAGAATAGGAGTAAAATCTTTGGTTAAATAAAGGATATTATGCTTTGAGGGTATATATATATATATATATATATATATATATATATATATATATATATATATATATATATATATATATATATATATATATATATATATATATATATATATATATATATAATGCAAAAATAAGCGCTACAAGCGTGCGACAAATACAAAGATTTTCCATTGAATGTATCTATTATTCTCTTCAGAGATGGGGTAGATAAAAAAGTAATTGTAATTGTGTGTAATTAATTACATTTTCAAAGTAATTGGATGTAAATTATGACTCACCATTGTTTCAATTATTTGTAATGGTAATTTAATTATAAACACTGAAAAAATACAATGTAATTTCAAGTATTTTTCAGTTACATTTCAATTACATTACATAATACATATAATACGTGATTAATATGGAAATATTTCCATCATAGTTATATTATTCATATAAAACATCTTCTGCTCCTCTGTTTTCCAAAATCTTAAACTTGTTTGCACCCTTATAAAAGAATTTGATATACAAGTATTGGCTTAATTGTAATAATATTAATTTGTTATATTAGAGGTGGGATCAGGTGCCATGGAGGAGTGAGCATCCCCTGCCGACCGGTCACACCCGCCGATGGTTCCTTGTCATTATCGAAAAAAAAAAAAAACACAAGAAAAATCCGTAGGCAGTTCAATGTATAAATAATGGCCTAACAATTAGTATGAAAAACGTCAGTCAGCATTTGACTCAATGATAGGTTGTATGTGCTGAAAAAGTCATTGTATCGACCTTAAAACTTGCGAAATGATGACTTCAATCGAGACTGTTGATATCCTTGTTTCATCAACTTGTTTGTCAATAGCTTGCCTCATTTTAGAATTTTTTTTTACGTAGATGATGCTCTTGCGCATCGAATCAACTGAGAGACATAAACCCCATATGCAGGTGATAAGGGTATATTGCTACTTAAGTTGACGATTGAAAATTTAAAGTCATCACGTTTATCATAAAGATTGGTTGTAAGGTAACCATTAACGTCTTTTTTTAGTAAAATATTTAGATATGAAACAGTTGTGTCAGAATCTGTGGTATCTTTTATTTCAAGCTCACTGGGTTATATCGAGTCGACATATGAATGAAAGTAAGTTTTGTTAATTGATAATACGTCGTCAATATATCGAAATGTCGAGTTGAAGGCCACAGCAAGTGTTTTCTTCTTCTCAGTTTATTCAGGTTTTGAATAAATTCTGTTCCATATGAATACAAAAATAGGTCTGCTAACAGGTTGTGTGGACAGTATTTTCTTCCGTAAAAAATATATAATTTGCAATATCCATATTCACAGATCCGAGCCTGTATTCCAGTGTCGAAGTCATGGCCATCTCCTTTAGGACCACTCTAGCTTCTAACACAATGACCTCATCATCCGCAATATTTTTATTGTCATCATATCCTGTGAATTCTAACACTCAGTTTTGAAGAATTATTATATAATGTGCATATTTTTGAATGAAACTGGTTTGTGGTTGAAGAGAAGTTCATGTATTTAACCTACATGTAGAACATGCAATAAATGTGTTGATACATGAATATGACTGATACAGATTATATATATATATATATATATATATATATATATATATATATATATATATATATATATATATATATATATATATATATATATATATATATATATATATATATATATATATATATATATTGGATATATATATATATATATATATATATATATATATATATATATATATATATATATATATATATATATATATATATATATATATATATATATATATATATATGCGCATTGGAGAGTGGCATTAGAATATGTTGCACCACATGTCTCTAAAAATTTATAATTTCTGAACCCTGTGAAAACAATTAGTTATAAATGCCATTCAAACGCAGCTATGTTTAGGCTGTCCAAAGCCTGATATGCATTAGAAACGTACTCACACACAGGTATTTTCCACTCTTCATTGCAATTTGTACAAAATAGACTATGCTACATACCCCCCCCCCCCCCCCACCTCTCCTCAAGATTCAGCTAGAGGATATATTTCTTCACTATATCATTATTTACCACCTTTGCCACTGTAATATATACACATTGTTTCATTCTAACTCTACGGATGTGGACGGGAAGCTTTTCTCTTTCAATTCGTTTAATTGTTTGAATGCGCTCATTTCAGACAATAAAAAGGAATGACATTTATTTATTAGTTTGCAAACACTAACTGAATAACAGTACATTGAATTTTATAACAATCCACAAACCTGATTTCACCATCAACGTAAAATTGTCCTATAAAAGGAATGTTAGAGCTATAACTTATTTCTCTGTCATTTTAGCCCAAGTTTGCATTTACATGGTGTCGTTTGCTATTATGACGTCAAAGCTGGGTACTTCAGAGAAATAACTTTAACTGGTACTCTGTGACATTTTACGGACAGAAAAAAATTGATTCTAAATTTTCTAAAAGATATTTGGAAAAGGTGTCTAAATTTAAGATAACAATATGGTAAACATATGAAAGTTTGTTATATTAATACTCAGGAGGTAAATCTATAAAGTTGAAGATAGGGATATGTTGCTCTATTTTGAGTTTGTTTCTGCCAAAAATACTCCGTGATTTGCTTTATAGGTATTATCACAAGAGGTCACAATACACTCACTTGACGGAAGTTCTTTCCGATTGTTCATACTCTTGGGTACATTGCTTCATAAGAAAAAAGGAACATAAGTCACAGAAATTTTAAGTTACTATATTAATACACCTGATAACACATGATGAGAGAGAGAGAGAGAGAGTTCGAGAGAGTTCGAGAGTTCTTAATGTTACTCGTACTTTTTCAAGAATATAAATTAAAAACATATGTAATCAAGCCTCAAGGCCTCCTTTCAATCACATCATAGTGAGAGCATCTTAATGGATGTTTATTCGATTTGAAAGCAAGAATATCAGTTGTCTGGTTTTTCATTTGCAACAAAATACTTAAGTTAATTGTTATGTAGGAAGTAATTACTTCATATGTTAACTAAATGGATGTTTCATTTTAAAACC